CCACTATGCAGCCTTCCTTCTGGACTCCTGTCAAAAATACACAATCATATAGCTCTTTAAACAGTTCTCTCCCTCATCTGTTTCAATGCAGTATATATTATTTATCCCATCTTTCTCAGTCTCCCCCGAACCCCGATGTCAGTCCTGTTTTATAACAGTGGCACTATGCAGTATTTGTCCTTTTGTGACTGAGATATTTCACTCAGCATAATGTCCTCCAGAATCATCCATTTTGAATTATATTTCATGAGCTCTTTGTTTTTCAATGCCTCGTAGTATTTCATTGTGTGAATATACCACAGCCTCTCTATGCAGTCATTTGTTGATGGGCACTTAGGTTGTTTCCAACTCTTTGCTATTGTGAACAAAGCTGAGATAGACATGGTGTGCATATATCTGCTTGGGTGGCAGTTATGGCCTCTTTGGGGTATATTCTTAGAAGTGGAATTGCTGAGTCAAATGGTATGTCTATTTGCAACTTTTTGAGAAAGCGTCATACTGTCTTCCACAGTGGTTATACCATTTTACACTCCCACCAGCAGTGAATAACGGTTCCAGTTTCTCCACAACCTCACCAACATATGTTGTTTACCGTTCTGTTAAATTTTGTCATTCTTACTGGGGTGAGATGATGCCTTATAGTTGTTTTGATTTGCATCTCTCTTAGAGGTAGGGATTTAGAGTATTTCTTTATGTATTTGTTTGCCATCTAAATGTCTTCTTTGGTGAAGTGTCTGTTCATATCCTGTGCCCATTTTTCAATTGGGTTGTTTACCTTTATCTTGTTGTGGTACTCGAGTATTCTATAAATTCTAGATATAAGTCCCTTATCCGACATATCATTACCAATTTTCCCCCCAGGCTGTGGCTTCCCTTTATACCCTGCTGGAGAGTTTTTGGATGCGCATAGGGTTTTGATTCTTAGAAAGTCCCATTCATCTATTTTATCTTGTTCTGGTTGTCAAGTTGCCCTCACTTTTAAGGCAACCTGAACTCACCTCTAAGGCTTGTTTCTTCTCTTGCAGCCCATCGTCAGTTTTCTTGGCCAGTCCCATAATTCAGATGAATCAACTCTTCCCTCTTCCTAGTTCATTGTAGGCATATGAGGCGCTTGGTATAAAGTGCACCCCTAAGTCTTCCAAGGGACATCTTTCTTTTTTTTGGTTTTTTTTGGGGGGACATCTTTCTTTTTAATGCTTAAAAGAGGCTTTGCTACAGGTTCCATTCCATATCGCAGAAACCACGTGACTTTAACAAAAAAGAATTTATTTTAGGGAATTTGTGGATTTTGCTTACATCTCAACAAGTTGATTCCAACACCCTGATTAGGCCCCACGTGACAGAGCAGAACTGCCCCACTGTGCTTCTTCGATGATACTCACTGCAAAAGGACGGGAAAGCACAGAGAGAGCTTGGATCCACACAGGTGGTGGCTGCTGAGGGGCAAGGCCATCAAGCAGGAAGGAGCAACCCCTTCCACCACCTCCTGCTTTTGTCCACTCAGCTCTCTACCACCCTCTGCCTGTGGTTCCTGAGTGGTGCAAATGATTAAGCACTTTGAGAAAAATGGGAAGCCCAGAGAACTTGATTGTGCCCTTGTGAAATCTATACTAGAACCCTGGGGCAGTCAGTCGTCAGAACAGAGCAATGAAACACTGCATGATTGAAAATTAGGGATGTGCATTGTTTTTTTTTCCCTATAATTATATTTTATTAATTTTCATAAACATTTACAGAGATTTTGGGCTTCCACTCATTCATTGTTGCACTATTCTCTCTACCCTCCTCCCAGTTTGTTCTTGTCCAAATGCCACAGTGCTTGTCAAAGCCAGTTCTGATTAATCTTCTTTGTCAGTGTGTCCTTTGCCATTCCCTATCACTCCTCCCTGAGAGAGACTTCACCCTGAGTCATAAGGAAAAGGGGATGGCGTATTCTCTTAGCTATTTCCTGCTGAAAAGGGATGCTGTGGGTTTCAGGGTGAAGATCTTCTCTCACTACTCTAAAGGGAGGGATGTGCATTGTGTCCATACCTTTTCAATCTGTGTGTGGAACAGATCATTCAGGAGGCTGGACTTTATGAGGAGGAATGTGACATCATGATTAGAGGAAAACTCATCAACAACCTACTTTATGCAGATTATACAACCTTGTTTGCTGAAAATAAGGAGGATCTAAGGTAATTACTGCAGAAGGTCAAGATCTGTAGTCTTCAATTTGGACTGAAGCTCAACATCAAGAAGATGAAGATTCTCACCACTGGGCCAATTGATAGCACCATGATGGATGGAGAAGAGTTTGGGGTTAGCAATTTCAGCTTGTTTGACTACACAATCAACACTCTTGGCACCAGCAGTCAGGAATTCAAAATACAAATTGCATTAGGGAAGTCTGCGGTCAGGGACTTCTCCAGCATGCAGAGGAGCAATGATGCCACTCAAGAGATTAAGGTGCCCCTAATCCAGGCCATGATCTGTGCAATTACTTGCTGTGCATCAGAGATTTGGACAATGACTATGACAGAAGATGTTATAAGAAGATGACAGAGGTGACAGAAGAAGAATGGATGCCTTTGAGTTGTGGAGCTGGAGAAGAGTCTTGAACATATCATGACTGCCAAGAAACAAATAGGTCTGTCATGGAGAGGGTTAGGCCAGGAGGGAGGGACCAGTCCTCGGAGAAGGACATCATGCTTGGAAGGGTAGATGGATGATGGATGAGAGGAAGACCTCAACCACATGGATTGACACAGTGACTGCAGCTATGGGCTCAAATGTGTCAGGCATGGTGCAGATGGCAT